CTGTTAGCAAGCTTATCTTGTATAAGAATACCTAATAGCACTACTACATATGAGAGAGAAATCTCCCATCCAATTCCCTTGCTCAATTATTGCAAGCTTATCTTCTAATACGCTGAAGCACTACATAATACATATATGAGAGCGAAATTTCCGGGTCAATTATTATCAAATTTATCTTCTTATACCTAAACATACTACATATGAGAGAGAAAGTTCTCTCAGTCAATTCTTAGCCGGCTTACCTTATTATTATTATATCTAAAAGCACTACATATGAGAGAGAAAACACTTCTCCTCATTTGTTAGCCGACTTATGTTATACTTTAAAAACTACATAAGAGAAAAAATCTTACATTTAATTGTTAGCACGCTTATCTTCAAATATCTAAAAGCACTATATATGAGAGAGAAAACCCTTCCGCTCAATTGTTAGATGGATTATATGATACCTAATAGCAGAGAAAATTTTCTCGCTTAATTGTTAGCCTCCTTAATAATGACATAAATCTTCTTATATACCTAAAGTCTTATACCTAAAAACAGTACATATGAGATAGAAATTATCTCACTTAATTGCTAGCCGACTTATTTTATATTTAAAAGCATTACATGTGAGAGAAATAATTATGGCGCTCAATTTTTAGCTGACTTATCTTATCTTATCTTATACTCAAAAGCACTACATGAGTAGAACAATGTTCACTAAAATTGGTAGGTAGACATGTTGCATAAAAATTGGGGTAAGATGGTATTTTTAATAGTGTACTCCTTTGGTATATATAAATATCTACAGAGGCTGTTCAATAATTTAAATTTTTATATATTCAATATTGGTCTCATATGAAAGATCACAATAATTATGAATTTTGTTGTATTTTTTATAAAAATTAGAGTAAAAATAAAAAAGTTACTCCCTCCATCCCATATTTATCTTCACAAATACAATTGGCACACATATTAAGATAGTGAGAAATGTGTGGTGGAGAGTTGTGCAGAGGAAAGAGAAATGTGTAAGAATGTGTAAAATGATTGTGAACCACAAATTCTTTGCTAAAAAGGGAAAGAGGAGATAAATTTGGGACTGACCGAAAAAGAAAGAATGAAGATAATTTCGGGACGGAGGGAGTATAACGCTTCAAAGAAAATAGGGGTATTTTATTGGTTGGGCCCCACCAAATACATCTCCCTGCACTCCCTTCATTTCCCTTGGGTGTTCGGTACATGAAGGAAACAAATTGGCCACGTGTTATTCTAATAGAAAATGAGTGAATTGAGGATATGGTGACACATAACATTCATTAAGGTTGAAATTGTTATTTAAGAAGCTATTTGTTTTCTTATATATAAATAGATAGATTGGGGGTTTTTTATAGTTTGGGCCCCACCAAATACATATCATGCGCCCACCTGGTCTTCTTTTCCTTTGGTGTGTTCAGTACATTTGGAGTGAAAAAGCCATGTGGCATTCTTGTAAAAAATGAGTGAATTGAGTAGAGCTTGACACCTCAGATTTCTTAAGGGTAAATTTGTAAAGTTTTAAGATTCTCAATCTCTTTACTGTTAAAGGTGATTTGATTCATCCGCAATAATAATAGTAATACTCTCTCCGTCTCATAAAACATGTTTTTAGTAATTCTATTTTTTGGCTTAACAGGTTTATCAACCATTTTTTTCATCAAACATGTATTTTTTTATTTCATGCACTGCATTGTGTAACAATAAGAAAAAATAATGTTAGAGTTAATTTTCTGATAGTATTGGTTGAATTTACTGTAGAGCACCATTTTAGCTATTTTATATAAATTTTTCTTCAATTTCATGAATATGAAGAATCAACCACTCCGGCCCCTTCTACCAAATGTTCATAAATTTTAGCAGAATCAATCGATTCAGTCAATTTTGGTATTACCAAACGGGCTCTAAGAAAGTGAGAAGAAAGTGGAAATGTGAGGTTGTTGTTGAGTATTACGTAGTACTTGAAAACACTTAATTCAATTTTTTAAGCCACAAGCTGAAAAGTACTTTTTAATCTCTTGCAAACACTCCCTTAGTAAGCCAAAGTTTTATATTCTATATCTCCGTAATTCGTATTTTTATAAAGACAATAAAGAAAATGAAAAAGATTAAGCCGCGTAGCATAAGTACATCAATGCTCTCTAACATCGATAGATAGACATGTTGCATAATAATTGGAGAAAAACAATATTTTAATAACCTACTACTTTAAAGTACCACCTTCACCCCATAAAACATTGCAAACTTTCAATTTTCGATCATCACAAAAAATATTATAATTTCCACTTAAAGTAAGAAATATGTGGTTAACATTATTTCTCACTTATCTACAAAAATATCAACTATACAATTTTTTTTTTACTATTCTTCGTGCAAGTTAATTTTGACCAAGTTTTTAGGGAAAAAAGGGAATATAAATAAATATAAATAATTTTAAGCATAGTTATTGAGACCGTTGTTAAATTATATTTTTATATATTCAATATTGATCTCATATGAAAGATCACAAAAAAAATATGAATTTTGATATATTTTTTGTAAACATTAGAGCAAAAATGAAAAAGTTATAACACTTTTGTATAACTTGGGCCCCACCAAACTCTATCTCCCTTGGCTGCTCTTCCTTTCCTTAGTTCGTAGCTTTGAAATAAAATAGTCTCCACTTGTCATTGTTATAGTTAAAGAGAAAATTATGGAGAGATAGACACATTGGATTAATGAAGGATAAAAGTGTCTTTTAATGAGCTATTTCTTTTCTTATATATAAATAGAATAGATATAGAGGGCAGCCGTTGAAATATTAAAAAAAAGGAATGGTCATGCATGTAAGATAATAAGTGAGTCATTTATTGGGAATAATAACTGTAGAGTCATATATTGAAAAATATATATTGTTTTAGTCATATGGTGGGTAATTTTCTCATCCTGTTTGTGTTTCTAATACGTTACAAGTAATAATAAGTTAAGGAAAAAATCTAAACCTGTGGGCGTAGCTCAACTGGTAGCAAGGGAGTGCCACAAGGGTTAGGTCCCGAGTTCGAATTCCGTCAACTGCGATGAGGGATTACTATGCTAAAAATGCTTAGAGCTTCTGCAAGTACCGATGACAGAGTCTCGCTCTCTATCTGTCAGATTGGAATTATAGTCCAATTTACACCCTCCCAACGTACCGTCCGGTCGGGGTTGGGGGGCCCTCAGGGATGGAGTGTCATCCTTTTAGGAAAAAATCTAAAGGTACACACTTTGTGTACACACTCTTACACACTCGTGTCTGTGTAGGCATTTTTTTGTCTGTCCCAGACAAAATGTATTTGACAAATACATTTTGTCTGGGACAGACAAAAAAACGCCTACACAGACACGAGTGTGTACACAAGTGTGTACCCCAAGTCCGATTCATAAGTTAAGCGATTTAACATGTTGGTATGTCTAATACTCTAATTGAGGTTTGTTTTGGATACAATGAGTGCGATGATTTTATTGATTGAGGTGTTAGATATAGGCGCGGTTTGGTAACATTATTTTTTGCTTATCAGGCTTATGAGTCAACTTTTCATCAAATACGTAGCTTTTATTTTTTACACGCTGGATTTGTGTAATAATAAGAAAAAGTAGGAAAAAAGGGTCAAATAAGCCCATGTACTAATGCGAAACCGTCACATACACCCATCTACTAAAAAAAGCGTCACAAACATCCACTTACTTCATAAAATGAGTCATCCAAGCCCAATGACCGGCTGCAGACTTGGGATTCCCGGTTATGTGATGATGTGGCTCGTTTTTAACCCAATCTAATTAATTTTTTCCACATCATCACGTCCTAATTTCCTTTAAACCATAAAAGGGAAGATGTGATGCCATATTAGTCTTCTGCATCGCCAACCCTAAAAGAACGAAACTTTCCCAGCCTTCATAATCTTCGGCTCAACGTGTCTGCAGGTTCGTTCAATTCGAACGCAAAGGGTACTCCGACTTTGAACTATGAACCAAACGTGTATTGTCAATGTGGTCTGAAGTCTCCTTTGTGTGTTGTCAGAGACACCGGTCGAATTTTTTTTGGATGTCAACGATGGAAGGTATGCGAAGCTAACAATATAATTAAAATATAATTTTCTGTCGTGGAATCAATGTGTTGTTAATTTGTAAAATGTATTGCTAAATCCATTCTTACCCTTTATCTTAATTAAAATGTGCTAAAAATGTGTTGCTAAATTGTTTTTAATTTGTTAATTAAAATGTAATTTTCTCCAGTTTTGATCCTTTATCTTGATTATCTGTTCACACATTTTTTTTTCAATTATTGCAGCCAGGAGGTGGAGGGTGTGGATTCTTTGCTTGGAAAGAGGAAAATGAAATTCAACAAGTAGGAAATCAAAATTTCAACTTGCAGGAGGTTAAAATAGTGCTATATGATTTACGAGAGCAAATCATTCAAACTCGTGGTGAAGTTTCCCATGTAAAAGCAGCCTTGCACTATGAGATTGAAGAAAATAAGAGATTTAGATATTGTATAGGAGTTGTGATAATTGTTGTTGTAGCAATGTGTATCTTCATGTGTGTAGGAGTACAAAGACGGAACTGATGGCATTGTAAACATGTTATGTTTAGTTCTGTAGTTAGCCTTGTTGGTTGTATTAATGAATAAAGGATATTGAATAAACATGTATTGTGTGTTAAACGATTTGTCTTATGTTAAGTTGTGCAGCCATATGTTATGTTTACTTCTGTATTAATGACAGCATTGGTGAACTACAACCTACAGCATGTCTCCCTGTTTTGTTTTTGCCTTCATGGGATCCTTTCTAACATTACTTTAAACACAAAATATATACATGCATAACACTGGGATTTCCACCAGGGTATCCCTCTAGATATAACACTGCCACTTCCCTTTTTAGCATGTGCCATCCATTAGCAGGTAGTAGATTAGTATGCGAATCCTTCACATAAACGGTTTAACACACATACATGCATATAGTGTGATCTGGAAAGAGCCAGGAGCAGTTTTATATGATGTAGAGGAATAGGGGCAGAATAGGAGCATTACATTGCGAGACGTTCAACAAAATGTATGGCATTACATTTCCAGATTAGTGTCATTTTTAGTCATGACCATAACACATCTAACTGCCCAATAATCACTACAAACATTACATGACAAAAGGGGTATTTAAATCCATGATCATTACACATCTAGATAAACAAAGCATCACTTAAAACGTACATTACATGACAAAAGGGGCATTTATACCCATGTTCAGTACACATGACATTACATAACAAAACGAGTTTCATCCGTTCACAGAATGCACTTCTATGGTCAGCCAGTCTTTGCAGCACTTCACTAGTCTTTGTAGTCCCCACTTAAAGTACTTGTTCACTTGATAGTCCCGGCTACAAAAAAAACATTGAATTACATATAAGCAACTTCTTACACTAAATGAATTCACCTAATTTTATATAATAAATTCATACATCTAAAACAGTTTCTCCAGTCTCAGGCTCAATGTATATGCCAAAACCCTTATGCTTTCTTTTCTTCTTTTGGGGTCTATCACCTCCTTCTTTGTTTTGTGCTTTACTTTTTCTTTTGGAAGGTTTGGTGGAGGCACTCTGTGTATCTGTGGCCGTGTTTGGATACTTTGCTTTATTATGGCCCGCCTGCTTGCACTTAGAGCATGTCATGACTCTCCCCTTGCGTGATACAGTGGTTCTACCCTTACCAGATGATGATTGTTCATTCACTTCACGAGTCCTTTTTTTCTTAGGTCTACCCGTTAGCTTCTTTGGAATGGGGGGAGCAATGTCATTGTTTTGTGTCCTTTGCCACAACATCTCCCCATTCATAGGTTCTAGATGATGGGAATAGATCCTCTGATATGTGTCCTTGGAGTAGCTGTCATCAACATAAGCTTCCGGCTCCCCACCCTTGTCAAATAATGCACAAACTGCAGACATTTGTATTGATTAGCCCATGAAGCGGTGCACTTAAAAGGACAATTTGTTGCACAAGCTGCTTGAAGTCTAGTTGGCTCGTTCTTAACCCACCTGATATCTCTCTTAAAATCCACTGCATAATTGATTAGTGCTTCCTAGAATACTTTGAAAATTATAAACATAGTAGGAAGTGTTCTTATTATTTCAACTTTCCATACCCTTCACAGATTGTTTTTTTTTTCTTCTTTCTGGAGAATGGTTTCTATTGAGGTGCAGGTTTTGAATGGTTCTAATATCACTTCAAATTAATGCTTACAACACTAATGAACTCATGATTAGGTCATTATGGATCAACTACACTATAATGCATATGGGTAAAATAACACTAAAAAATTCAAGCAACTTCTAATTTTTTTCCCTTTTTGGGACTATTTGGTCCGGTTGTGGACTGCGCAGTTCTAGATCAAGGAGGAAAGTCGAAGAAAAATCAATTCCAGTTGCTGGAGGAACTGAAATCACAACCGGTGTGACCAGTTTTGGTTCAAAACTGAAAAAATTAACTTGCTTGATTCAGTTCGTTTCTGGAACGCGGTTCATCCCAAATTCAAGATTATACACTTCGTATATTATACTCATAGGTCTGTGTCGATTAAACTTGAAGATGAATACTTACTTGAATGCAATAGGAGTATAGATAAAGCAGTTCAGTGAAGGAGATGACCAAAGCACTACCAAATCCCTCCAAGTACCTCGTCGTCGGCCATGGGTGCTTGAATATTCAAATGGAAGGAGAATAGCCCTAACCGTGAATGAGGCGCAATAAAATGTCAAAGGAATGCATCCAGGTTGGCAAAAATTAACCACATCAGCATATAACTGCCAGACAAGAAAGGATTGGGTTAAAAACGAGCCACATCATCACATAACCGGGAATCCCAAGTCTGCAGCCGGTCATCGGGCTTGTATGACTCATTTTATGAAGTAAGTGGATGTTTGTGACGCTTTTTTAGTAGATGGGTGTATGTGACGGTTTCACATGAGTACATGGGCTTATTTGACCCTTTTTCCGAAAAAGTAAAGTTGAAGTAACTTTTGAGGTTGTATTGGCTGAATTTACAGTAGATGACCATTTTAACTATTTTTTATATATAATATTTTCTTTATTTTATCAATAAAATGTATTTTAAAAATATTTTTTCTTAAATTCAGCAGAATAAGACGAATTGACCGATTTTCGTGTTTCCAAACGGGCTCATAATAGCACCTAAAGACTTAGAATGATTAAAATATGTTGAAATTATTGAATTTAGGGCTTAAACGGCTGAATCAGATGATTTACTGACAATTCATATTTGAAATGTATTTTACTCGAAATTATAGAAAAAGATACACGAAATAGCTAAATGATCCTCATTAGTAAAGATGTTTATTATTAGACTTAATTCAGTCATAGAACAGAGAAGACCTTATCAGACCAAATCAAACTTAAACAAATAAGATCAAACCATACTTTTACAGACCACATCAGAACGGACTTTGACAGTTATAGAATACACACAAACTAGATATATACCAGACCAGACAAAATTACTTCAGACCGGACTAGACATAAACACACAGACCAAATCAGAAGATTTTTAGTTCAAGTAAAAACATCCTAACTTCAAATAATTTAACTAGAAAAGTAAATTTAACTTTACTATTTTTTTATTGTTATAAAAATTCGACGCGCGAAATAAAAAGTTACACGTTTGTTGAAAAAAATTTAAACATAAGAATGATAGCCAAAAACTAGTCTCCAAACACGTCCTCTATAGATTAAATTAGTATGCAACATTTGTACACATTATAGATAGAACTAGTTATACACACTTTTTTATGTACACATTATTTTACACATGTTTATGAAACATTATTTTTTGTTTGTGAAAAAACTATTTATACGAAAAAATAGCTGCTCACAGACGTGTTTAAATGTTGTGTACCAGAAGAATTTTTGCCCGATTAAGAGCTCGTTTGGTAATACCCAAATCGAATGTATTGAACGATTCTATTAAAATTTATAAAGTTCTATTTAAAGTGGCTGTATTGATTAATTTTTTCAATTTATAAAAAAAATAACATTTAAAATATATTTTATTAATTGAATAAAGAAAAAATTATATGAAAAATAGTTAAAATGTATTTCAATCAATAGCATCAAAAAGTAACTTAAATCATTTTTTTTCTTATTATTACGAATATAAGGCGAAAAAATTTATTAATAGATGTAAATGTGAATCCGACTGACTTCAAAAAAAAATGGTGAAAGAGGCCCCCGCCGACACACACGCACGGAAAAGTATAACATCTTTCTTTCTTTTCTTTGTCCATATAGATGCTGTGCTGATTGCTGATCGACATCCCCACTCAATTTAGAAATTCTTGAAAAGATTGGTGTCCACAGTGCTTTCTTTTTTCAGTCCCCACCTACCTCATAATTAAATCTGCAACAATCCAAAACCTCCATCAACGACTTACTATAATTACTACATCTGATTCCCATGTTCAAGCTCCCAAAATTAGCATAGATCTAAGGCCTGGTACACAACCTACCATTAATTATTATTGTTAGCTGCTCTACATATACTAGTATATATTTATAGATAAAGCAAAGAAGAGAAAAGAAAAACTATTCTATATTCCTTGGACTTGAAGACATACTGCTTAACAAGAAAGCAGTTGCTGATAAAAGTATAAAGAAAGTAAGAAATGTTTGAAGATTCCCAAAGGCCAAAGTCCAGACGATTCTGGTTCTGCTGCTTGCTAGCTGGTTGTTGAAATATTCAATTTCCCGAAGCCAAACAAGGGTTATTCGACCCAGAAGGAGCAATTCATGGACTCCTCCCCAAACACAGGGTTCTTTGGTGGTAATAATAATCATAATAATAGTCAGCAGAGAAGTAGTTCTGGGTTGCTCAGGTTTGGCTCGGCCCCAAGCTCTTTTCTTGACAGTTTCGCAAATCAAGAAACTGCTGCTGCTGCTGCTTTTGCTCATTCTTCAAGATTCATTGATGGGGTTTCTGCTTTTCCACCTCCTATCCCAAGGCAGGGCTCAGCTGCCCTATTGGCCTCATCAAATCTCACCAGACAGAACAGTTCCCCCCCTGGTTTATTCTCAAATCTCAATCCTCTAAACGGTAGGTACTGTCTTCAAACATCATTCAGATTTCAGAGTATTTATTACTCCGTATTGCATGTTTTATCAAATCTTTGTGCTTTTCCTTTTATGGAAATGTTTACAGTACGATTCTAGTAAGAACGGTTGCTCTGTATATCAGATTTGGAAATGCATATCTGCTACTGTACCTTCTAATAAAGTAGGGTGGATATCGAGGTGGGCAAAGCTTTACTTGTTCACAATTTTCAATGTATTTTAATGAATTTTTGTTTTCAAACTCAGATCTTGAAAGTTGAAACTAATCCAGTGCACGAATTCTTAATTCTCTATTAAGATAGCGATTTACTTTTCATTTGAATCAAAATCTACATGTGTGCTTATAAAGTATATTTATACGCCAGTATGTCTTAATTAGACCAGGTAATCAGTTATATTCATTCTTGTTGTCTCATTTGACTTTATGTTCAAGTTGAGCACTATTTCCTATCTGAGATATTAAAGCATGAAAACAGAAGATTAGTTTAGAGATCAACCAATAAATGCCGTTTTTTTATATTCTGTGTGAAATTTACAAAGACAAACAAGTCATAAAGTGATAGAACTGAGAGTATAGATGTATATAATTTTGTGTTTAATTGATATGGTTACATTTTAGCAATGGGGTATCTCTCTATATACGGTGATTTGTATTTCATCCACAAATATAATCATATACTCTTTTCCTTCACTTTTACTCTTTCAAGTAGATGTCTAATTGAGAGAAAATATATGGAGCACGTTAACGTTTTCACGTGTTAATTATCTACCCAATTGCTCCCCTCTTACCGCAGGCCCCCAATGCACCACGACCAAATTGTATTCTATTTTTCTTTTGTAAAATTTGTCAAAAAAGATTGAAGTTTTTGCCGATGATCACACTGACATGTTTGGCGTTGGTAATGCCACTAGCTGTGTCAACAGTGAGGTCGTGCCAATGGTGGTTGCAATGACATTGTTGATAGTCCGATAGAGACAAAATAAACTCAGAGTGACAAAATAATGATATGCATAATTTTCCGATTTTATTATAATGTAAATCACTTTGTTATCCATAATGAGCAAATTGTAGATCCACCCCTATTTTTAATAATAATGTTTTTAAATATATTGACAAAACCATAGTTAAAATAAAATAGTAAAAAGTAATTAAATTTGTTTTTATCAATCCGGGATCTGAAAAATAGATTCACTATCAATAAGAGGTTGAAAGATAGTGCATCAATATAGAGCCTTGATGAATTAAAATTATCAATTTGAGACCTAAAATTCTATGAATTTTAATAATTTTTTTTAAAAATTAAATACTCCGTATTACTTAATCTCATAAAACGAATAACCTTTGTGAAGAAAGAATCATAAAAAATTAGCAACAGAAAAAATCATCAAAAGTAGATCAAAATTAGTTTGTAATCATTCAGATCGTATATCAAGACACTTTATCTTTTAGTCCCTTATTGATAGTTAACCTATCAATAATTCCAAGGTAAAATGGTTGCAATTAGGGTATGTTTGACACAACTAAATGAAAAGATACTTTTGTAAGCTTTTTAGTAACTCTTAGCTTTTAGTGACGGAAAAGATCTTAAAAGAAAAAGGTGGTAGCTATTTGGTAAAAAGCCGACTGTTTGGTTTTGTTATGTTTGGTATACAAGATGTTAAGACTAATTAATACTAAAAGCCACAAACTTTTCTCAGATGCTACTCTCTGTAGCATCTCAAAAAAGATCTTTTATTTTTTAAAAAGCTCTTAAAATTTGTCATGCCAAACATATAACTAGAAGCTTGTAGAGAATTTTTAAATAGTATAAAAGCTAGAAGGTAGACACTATGCCCGCCAAACATGCCCTTAGAGCCCGTTTGGTGACTCTGTTTTTCAGCTTATCAACCAACTTTTTAACCAAACACATAATTTTTGATATCTATGGGTCATCCGGAAACAGTTTCTCTGTGCTATATTACGAGGGTAGGACTGCGTACATCCAACCCCCTTACCCCACCGAAGGTGTGGGAGCCTTTGTGGCACTGAGGTAATGATGATGACGACATAATTTTTGATTTCGCACGCTTATAATTGTGTAAAAATAATAAAAAAGTAAGGTTGGAGTTATTTTCAGGTTGTATTTGCTGAAATTACTGTAGATGACTAATTCTTCATAAATATTTTTCTTTATTTTATTAATAAAATATATTTTACATATATTTTTTTACATAAATCAGCAGAATCAAACAATACGGCCATTTCAGCCAGAACTTCATAAATTTTAGCAGAATCAGCTGATTCAGCCAATTTGAGTGTTATCAAATGGCTCTTAATATATAAAAGGAGATTGTATTATGATGCTTATATTATTGCTATTTATATCACTATTGTTCTGATTTGATATGAATATTCATCCTTATGTTACTGTTTAACTCACAATAATGTACGAATTATTGTCCAAGATAATGACAATTATCTAAGGATTGAGATTTGAGAAGAGAAGCAGGTGACCTTGTTGACTTGTTGAGGAATTGTGTTTTTCCTATCTTCTTTAATTTGTCATGTCTGTTGGGTTGATTTCTTGAGAAGGAAAGTGAAACCACAAGAGAATATCTTGATTTTACACTCATTATTGTGTTAAGAAGATGAGAACTATTGAAGCCATGCAAAGAATATATATGATGGCAATGAAATGAACTTCAGGCCAGCTTCGGGGTTTAAATCATCATCACAATTTGCAGGTTATCAGGGAACAAGAGGA